ATGGACGGTCTTTCTTCACAAAAATGGCTTCTTTTACTCCTCTCTCAAACCAACGTTCCTCTCTATCAAGAATGAGAACATCCTCATCTCTGAAAGAGTGACCGCTGGCCTGTAAATGAGTGAAAACAGTGCAAACTTCCAGCTTGGCTCCACAAGCAAGAAGATGATGATGACTTGGCCATACAAGCACAAAAAGTGAAGACTTTACTCCACACACAAAAATGAGGGCTTGGCTCCACAAGCAGGTATGTTAAGGTTAAACTTAGACAAAAATAATACACTCTATACAAATACAAAAACAAAACTACACCCGTAAAATAAAACACTCCTACCAAAAAAAACTCCATATCCAGGAATTTTTAGTTGAGTGTGTTTTGGTCGACTGGTGTGATATAAGTTTTGTGATTTAGTGAAGTGGCCTGGCAACGAACGTTGCGTCATCGGGATGCGCCTGCTGTAAGGAAAGACGTCGGGTGACAAAGCTTTTCCGCGTCCTTTCCAGCAGTTTTTCTTTGTTTTTGTTGACGGTTCGGCTACAGCAGTTTGTTAAATCCACAACTYCACGATGGGTAACCAARTTCAGTCCTCAGAGGGATTAATGCTTCGTTTCTGGAACTTTCTTCAATATAACGCAGGTACTGGGATCTGCTGCTCACTTGGGTCTTGCCAGCAAGTGAAACGAACACTACACACACCGMGTGTGGGCGGATCTTAAAGGAGCGTCACTGTGGCTTACACAGGTGATCACAATAACAATTAGATGGAGGTGGAAACAGGTGAAACAATGAACTAAAATAATTTGGTGCAACCCCAGGTTGTTACAAGTGTTTTGGAGTCTCTGCTTAGATCCAGCCTGGACAGACTGGGCTGTTTTGTTTGGGTTTTCAGATACAGCCTGAGGTCTTACGCTAAGGCCTGTGCACAGTGCTGTACTGTGAACCTGATTGGAGTCAGGAGATTGAGAATAAAGTTTTGAGAAGAATCCAGTGGATTCTTTTTTTTATTTAGACATAACATTTTGAACAACACATTTATTTCTACAATTGAAAAACATAGAACAATCAATACACAGAAAGCTAAGTAATCAGCGTCATGCCACTCACCTGTTCTCACTAGTATTTAAGGTCCACTCACCCACAGCTTCAGTGCCATATTTATAAACGGTTATGCCTAGTAGTTGTCCAGCGTCCATGTCTCGTCTTGCCTGCCTCGTTACGATCCTACTTCTGGTTATTGGTCTCACGTCTCCTGCCTCAGCCCTTGTCGGATTTGTTCAGTCATCAGCCTCACAGATTTCGACCCTGGTTTTGGAATTTGGATTTACATCTCCTGCTCTCGCCCTCCTCGGATTTGTCCAGCCATTGGATTCCCGGATTATGACCCTCGCCTGTTTTCCCCGACCACGAGATGTCTGCTCCTCCAAACCTGGTCCTGCTCTCTGACCATTTGTGTATGACCCCTGCCTGTTCCACGGATAATCCCCRAACCTCCAAGTTCCATCGGAGGCCTCACCACAAACCCGGAAGTAACAAGGGACTTCACACGAGGCTGTCCATGTCATTCAGGAGTTCATTCAGAACCAAGCGTTCCCTTAAAAGGTTAGTGGCTTCATTCAATGCAAAATCTGCTTCTCAGTTTAACCCAGCCACCAACCTAATCCTCTATTGTTTAAAGCTCCTGGTCCCCTTGACGTGTGTATCCAGATCCAGCTTCCTGTTTGTCAATAAAATCCTTAAAACTGCTCTGGTGTCAGGCAACTCTGTGAAACTCGTTTCCCCATTCATTACAATTTTGTTCACAAATGACACTGATTCTCAACTTTATCTACTTGGTGTCGCATCCAAAATAGTTCGATGAGAACTCGCTGGGCAGTTTAATGTGTGACACCACGGATGCGGACGAAAAAAATTGATCTTTGCGTGGACCAGAAATATCCGTCGGATAGACAAATCTCAGATTCAAGGASAGCAATGTGGTTTTTGTCCTGGTCGTGGAACAGCGGACCAGTTCTACACCCTCAGCAGGGTCCTGGAGGGTGCAYGGGAGTTCATTCAACCAGTCTACATGTGTTTTGTGGACTTGGAGAAGGCGTTTGACCGTGTCCCTCGGGGACTCCTGTCGGGGGTACTCTGGGAGTATGGGGTACCAGGCCCATTGATTATTATGGGACGTTATGGGCTGTTGGGTCCCTGTACAACTGGTGCCAGACTTTGGTCCGTGTAACCGGATGTTTTCTGCTGCTTTTGTGCTGGTTATGGAGAAATAATTTGCCATGACACTGGTCGTCTTTGGAGAAGCTGTTTCCCCATTTATTCTGATGAGAACAATAAACAGAAAAGCAATCACGTTATGATCTGCCCGCTCCAAGTCCTACATAAAACAAAAATATAAAACAAAACTAAAATCACATCCTGTCACTCCACAGTCATAAATTCACTCAAATATTCACATTACAGGGTGAATACGGTATAAATTTTACATTGACAATAACAAAAATGCACATAATACATCTGATGTATATTGATGAAAAATCAATAGCACCCACCTCTCCCACAGGACAAGATTCAAAAGTTAAATTCTTGGTGTACCAACAATTTAACAAAATAATTCCACAGAAGAAGAAGTAAGGAGGGGCTTCAATCACAAGGCCACATGCCTACATTTACAGTGGTTTTCATTGTGTTTACAGCCAGGTATAAAAACTATCTTAACATAACATTTTGTGTAATTATAACAAAGTACAAAATACACACTGGTTACATCCGCATTGCCAGTAGAAAAACTCTGAGAGCTGGACTCTGCCAAGGTTGCCCTTTGTCACTGTTTCTGTTAATAACTTTTATGGACAGAATGTCTAGGTGCAGCAAAGGTGTTGAGGGGATCCTTTTTGGGGACTTTACCCCTAATTTACACTAGATGCAGCTCCACTGTGCTGTGGTCTGACTTACACAGCAAATACGCAGCCATTATAATCAATGGGAGTTTTTATACTGGCTCTGCATGCTGGTGGTGAGCGTATGGCGATCTGCCAAAATTAGAGCCGATCCTATTTTTGCCCAACGCCAGAGCTGCTCTGTGGAGTCAGTCTACAGAGATCACATCGCACCAACAGAAAAAGGAACAAGCACAGCATCCATATTTTCAAAAATAAGACACCATAAGGCAGACTAATTATGTCAAAATTCCAGCTATTTTAAACAATATATGGATATACTGTATTTCTACACAAATGCTGTCAGAATGTATTGTTCTGTTTGGGAAGCAGATGGCAACATACAGCATGAAGCACATGTGTACACACATGATACACGTGGATTTTATTTTGAAATCAGAAGTTTCAAAAAGACGACAGTGATACAGTTTCAACCAGATATCAAAAGTGTTTATTTCAATGTTTTCAGCAGTGTTTGGAGTTTGTCATTCACAGAATTAATTATTTTCTGCTCAGACTTCTACATTTATCACTGATATTATCACGCAATCTCCTTGCTGCACACACTCCCTCCTCTGTGCATCACACCAGAGCAGAGCTGAGTGGACGCTGTATAAATTGGGGTGTAAATGAACAGCTGCGAACTGCAGCACAGCAGAGTTGTATCTAGTGTAAATCCAGGGTGAGGATTGCATCTCTGCTGTTTGCGGATGATGTGGTCCTATTGGCTTCATCTGATAGTSATCTTCAGCTCTCACTGGAGCGGTTCGCAGTCGACTGAGAAGCAGCCAGGATGAGGATCCGGGCTGATGCGATGGATAGGTGGATTGGTGCTGCATCTGCAGTAATGCGAGCGCTGTACCAATCTGTCATGGTGAAGCAAGAGCTGAGCCAAAAGACGAAGCTCTTGATTTACCGGTCGGTTTACGTTCCTACCCTCATCTATGGTCACGAGCTTTAAATAGTGACCGAAAGAAGATCCAAAGATCATGGATACAGTTGGCCAAAATAAGTTTCCTCTGCAGGGTGTCTGGGCTCTCCCTTAGACATAGGGTGAGCAGCTCGGTCATCTGGGAGGGACTCAGAGTAGAGCTGCTGCTCTCAGGGGCACAGATACGATTTTTGAACTGGAGGGGGGGGGGGGGGGGGGGGGG